ATCTTCCACAAACAGCAATATGATAATCTGATGGTCTGTTTTGTTTTTGTGATGTTGATTGATGGATAAACATTGGCCAGGAAACTGCTCTTATTAAAAATAACACTAATGTATCTTTTACACACAGAGACAAGTGGGGTCTTGCTTTGACATCTCATCTGAAACATTACCTCTGAAAGTGCAGCACTCCCTCCATTGGGCACTGGAGTGTCAGCTAGAGTATGGATGATAGTAAAATGAAGGGTATGCAGGTTAGTTTGATCTTAGAGTAGGATAAAAGGTCAGCACAACATCGTGGGCCGAAGGGCCTGATCTGTGCTGTACTGTTCGATGTTCTATTTTCTATGTCCGAGTCCTGGACTGTTATGGAATTAAGAACCTTTTGATTCAAAGCCAAATGCAGTACCAACTAAGCCAAGGTTGACAATCTCCTGGTCTCTTTTTGCCTGGTGTATTAATTTTTTATTCACTCGTGGGACATGGGTGTCACTGGCTGGCCAGTACTTATGCCCACTCCGAGCTGCCCTTGAGAAGATAGTGATGAGCATCCTTTTTGAACCACTGCAGTCCACTTGCTGGAGGTTGACTCACAATTCCCTTAAGGGAGGGAATTCCAGGATTTTAACCCAGTGACGGTGAAGGAACGGCAACAGATCTCCAAATCAGGATGGTGAATGGCTTGGAGGGGAACTTGCAGATGGTGTATTGCGAAATTACAATCCAGGATCACGATATTTATGTAATTATTCATAACTGTTGGAACTAGCTCTCAATAACTTGTACAGTTACAGCAGAAGTGATCTTTATAAAAGTTGAAACAGCACAGATAACACTTTAATTTTCTACAGAAATTGATTTTGGATCATCAAAAACATTTCAGTGTTTAAATCATAACTGTCAACTTGCATTGTCTATGTTTAGATTCCAAATGTTCTGGTTAATTTGTACAGGATAAAGAATCAAAAACACGTGTCCTGAAATACAGGGACAATAGATTGTGTAGCTCTTGGCTGAAGTATGTCTATAACCAACACACGAATGCTTTGTATGGTACTTGAAATAGACCCATTAAACCCATTAATGACTTGTATGTTACAAGTAAGGCACTGGCACACAATGATCAAGAAAGAAAACAGTGAATCTGCATTCATAGAACACTTTCTGTGAACCCAGATTGCCCAAAGTGCCTTACAGCCAATTAAATACTTTTGAAGTGTAGTTATTATTTTAATGTCGGAAATACAACAGCCAATTTGCACGTAACAAGTCCGACAAATAGCAACAATGACAATATAATCTGTGTTGATTTGATACTTCATTCAAAGGCTTGCACCTCCAGTATTTCAGCTCAGCACCACAGTATCAACCTGCATTACATGCTGAGGGTTCTGAAGTGTGGCCTGAGCCCACAATCTTCTGACCAAGGTGAAAGAAGCAAGCAAAAGCTGAGACCTTCAAGCAAACACTGATAGCCTGCTCACAAGTGCTATATATCCTGTGTTGGTCCAATGGGGGTTGAGGCATGTAATGAGGCCAATGACACCATCTTCCAAGACTATTAAGCCAGCAACTCCTTCCATTGAATATATACTTACAATATAATAATACAATGCAAGGAACCTCTCAAAATGGGCACATGGAAAGTGGATTCTAAAGCAGGTAGAATTGGATTTGGGAGGGGTTAGAGGTGACCCTAAGCTTGAAGAAGGAGATGGAATTTCAAAGGAGGACATAGCAATGATGATAGGATTTCCAGACAGTAGGACACAAACAAGAGAAAACCTACCAGCAATTATGAGCAAAAGGGACAGAGATCAGGGCTGTACTAGGTGCTACAAAAATGGAATATGCATTTCTATCATGTCTTTGACATGTTTTACAATATCAACAACAAAATATTGATCAAACAACATCTGATGCTGAATCCTATAAAATATTAGGGCAGGTGACCAAAAGCATGGCCAAAGAAGTAGGTTGTAAGGAGGAAACAGAGAGAAGTGGAGAAGTTTAAGGAGGGATTCAGGCACAGCCAGCAATGTAAGGGTGTTGGATATTGAGGATACATAACATTTCCGAATTAGAGGAATGCAGTTTTGTCAAAGTTGCGTTTCCAGCACAGTTAGAAATAAAGTTGATTTCATTTACAGTGCTGTTAACAGCTGGAGTACTACAGACAGGGTGAAAAGGGCCATGAGTGTGGATTTGAACAGTTGAAGCAGGTCCGCTGATATTCTTTCTTGCAGCTAAAGACAAATATGGATTATGCTTCTGTTTTAAAGATTCCTTAATGAAGGATGACTGACACATACCTGCAGGGTGCCTAATTGTCAGTGCGTGCCAGAAAGACACACTGGCTTCTCACCATCTATCTGTTTATACACCGCAAACACCTGGATGGATGTTTTTCATGCCAGAATAGCTAATCTTTCATTTACAGCACCAAGCTTGTTCTGAAGTGTAAACTACCGTCTGACATGTCCAGCATTAGGAAGCTATCACAATAAATGGGGTTTAATTTAAATATAATTAAGGCCGAGATAGATAAATCTTTGATTTCCAAGGGGATGAAAGATTATCAGGAATGTGCAGGAATATAGAGTTGAGCTTAAAATCAAATCAGCCATGATCTTATTGAATGGTGGAGCAGGCTCAAAGGGCTGAGTGGCCTGCTTCTGTTCGATGTTCGTATGCAATCCCTCCTTCAACTATGCTCTCAAGCATTACACTAGCTATCTTCTCCCACTCAGTCTCCAAATGTAATGTTTCATTTTAGGCCTACGCCGACCTCTTTCAAAACCTCCTAGTTATTGCTTCATTCTTCTTCCAATGCGATTATCTAAAGCACCATTCTCTGTGTTGTGAAGATTTCTAATACATTGTTGTTAATTGGGAACTTGTTTTCTAAAGTAGAGTTAAATGGACTCCGTGAGTTCTGAAGAAGGGTCACTGTACTTTCTCTCCACAGATGCTGCCACACCCACTGAGTATCTCCAGCAATTAGTTCGTGTTTTTTTGTTTTTAGTTTTGTGAAGGTGACTTTTTTTTGAAAGGGTCAGAAACCTTTTTCATCATCAGGTTTTCCAAGAAATCATGTGATTTAAGCTAAATGTCCAAACAAGCCAGCTACTGGGACAATTGCTGATGTGTTTACTAATTTAAGATTTACGATCCAGAGAAAGGCTGTTGGACAGTGGCTGCAAGTAGGTCCAGTTCATAGAGAAAATATCCATGCCAGCACATAGGCAGTTTTGTTTCACCAGTCTCCAGGCCGTCAGACCCGGAAAGATGTCAAAACCTGTTTTAACAGTTCAAACAGACAGCGCTGATAAAGCCCAGAACTCTTCATTGAATCAAAACATACAGAAGAGGTCCTTTGGCCCATTGAGTTCAGGTCAGCCACTTGATGAATTCTCATTTGTGGATGTGTGGCAGGTTCAATGAGACTTTCAAGAGGGCTTTGGACTATTGTTTCCATTTAAATAACGTGCAACGTTACTGGGGAGAATGCAGGAAATTTGCACTGATCTAATATGTTCAAGCAGCCAGACACAGCGGACTGAATGGCCTCCTTCTGAATCTCAACAATTCTGTGATTTTGGCTACTGGCCCAGCAATGAAGGACAGTCAGTTAGTGGCAGGTCACCTTGGGTTAGATGGGCGGTGTTGCCAAGACCTTATCAATGGGAAACAAGCATGTCTTCCTTCATTTGTTCCCTCTCACTCCCTCAAGGTAATCTTGCCACAGCGGTGACTGCAGGCCATCTCGTGGAACAAGTTCCCCTCTAGAAAAGTCACCTGGCAGCTGTGACTACCAGTAAACTTGAGTAGTTTTGCGTATGTTTTCAGGACTCTGCCATCTTGAGGTGCCCTTGGGTGCTTGTTCCTGTGGTGCCCGGTTGGGACTGCCAGAGGGACACTATTGCCTCTTGCATCAGACCAACCAGTTCCTGTTCCACCCACCATCCTTGTCCAAAAGGGAAAAACCAGTAAAACTTGTGAATTACACATACTGGCCTGACTTGTTTTGTATACCTCAGAACAGTGCTTCAGAGCAATCAGTGTATTCATTTCAAGCATTATTATTTATTTTTGGTTTTTCCCTCCAGATGATTGGATGGTGATACCAGAGGTAGCCAATCCACTGCGCATGTTTGCTTTCTGACTTGGGTAAGAAGCAAATAGTCAATTTTCCAAATGTTTGATTTTCTGCTTGATTCTTTGGGAAATCTCGACAGAAAGAGGGTGAGATTTACACCGATGCTAACACTGTTCAGCCATGACTGCATTGGAATAGTGGCTGCAAGGTAATGCACACCCACCTCACTTCCTCAGCCCCCTTCACTTCATCTAATCCAGTCTCTTTAGTTAAATACATTAACTGTATTTACAGTTCAGCTCAGTTAGTGGTCAGTCAGGCAAGTGTGTACTCAGTGTCCATCTAATATGGAAGTCCCTGATCTACTTACTCCTTCAGTGAAATATTGAGGGAGTGCCGCTATATCAACTGTGTTAACTCTCAGATGAGATCTTAAACTGAAACCTCCCCTCCCACTGCCCCGTACCTCTCCCTTGCCTTTGATGATTTACATTGTCCTTAACGTGCTTTGCACACATTATTCAATTGGATATACGCTGGTGGTTAACAGATGGAAAAAAAAATCACAGCTGATTCGGGTGATGGGAAAAAGCCTTCAGTTGTGTGTTGGAGCACTTCTGGATATTAAAAAAAACTGGAACCTCAAATAACACCTGAAATAATTTGAACATCCCATTCAAAGTGTCACTGTGAATATCCTTCTCTCACAATAGACAAAAATCCTTATTTGTACAAAAAGGCCATGTCAAAATATTCAAATTAAATTTCAATTCAAAATGTTAATATTTAAAAACATCACAGTTTTTCAAGTTAACCTCTTTCCAACTGAACACAATCCGGTCTAAGACAGATGGTGGTCCCATTCTTTCTACACAGCCTAATCCAAAGCCAACCCAATCCTTACCGTTCGTCCAGCTTCATTGTTGTGCCTGTTCATTGCAGACCTAGCATCTGGCCTGTTCTCTCGGGCATCAGCAAACTCCCTGGACACCAGTACGCCAAACTCAGCATCCTCGCTGCAGCCTCCCCATTTCCAGCCTTCACCTGGTGGGCCCTTGTGGTGTGAGTCACAGCCGCAGATAGTGTTGGAGCCCTCGGCACAGGAGCGTGTCACGGCAAATGCCACTCCAGCTGAGGCAATGGCATGGACAAAAGCAGATTCCCGGGTGGCTGGAAGACAAAAAGCAAATGGGTACAGGAGATCAGAACATGTACAGATTTCAACACATGACACAGGAAAGAAGTCAACGAGGCATTTTTTTAAATACACACTAATGGTTATGATTTATCTGAAAACTATTGTGAACATGCTTATTGCCAACATTTATATTTCTATCACGCTTTGAAACTTAATTAATATATATTAAATACTACACATGGTATTGTGGGATCAGAGAGTTGTGCCTCTTCTGAGAGCCAATTTCTGAAATGAAAATGAATCTAAATAATGCTTTAATTTTACTTTAGTTTTATGTTATTTACAACACCAAGGTTTATAACATCAACAGTTTTAGAAAACTGGCCCAGGTGTGCTACTAAATCCAAAAATGCAAAGTAATCAAATGATTTACAACTTGCAAATATCTTCATTAATATATTTACTGTTGTTAATTCAAAAAGAAAATTCAATATTTAAATTGAATAGAAAGTTTTGTCTTATGTTTAAACTTTTTGAACAGCTTGCAATTGTGTCATTTTGTTTTCCAGAAGAATATTGCTATTCTTACTCCTCTCTTGAAGTACCTCTCACTCATGCCAAGAAACAGGTTCACAGGTACAGATAGCCTTCCATGACCCTATGGCTTCAATCTTCACCTGTGTGGGTACCACAAGCAAACCAGGTCCTGTGCAAAGGCATTTTTTTTTTCCTTTATTCATCAGCAGGATGAGGGCATCACTGCTAGGCAGCATTTATTGCCTGTCCCTAATTGCCCAGAGGGCAGTTCAGAGTCAACCACATTGCTGTGGGTCTGGAGTCACATGTAGGCCAGACCAGGTAAGGATGGCAGTTTCCTTCCCCAAAGGACGTTAGCAAAGTAGATGCATTTTTCCAACAATCAACAGTGGATTCATGGTCATCATTAGATTCTTAATTCCAGATATTTTGTTGAATTCAAGTTCCAACATCTGCCGTGGCGGGATTCAAACCTGTCTCCCCAGAACATTATCTGGGTCTCTGGATTAACAGTCCAGCAATAATACCACTAGGCCATCACCTCCCCTGATGTACAATTTTCTGTGCAGGCTGCTGGATAACAATCAGGAGAGGGACCTTGACTGTGCTTTTTGCCTTTCTTACTCTGAAGATATTAAGATGGTGGCACTTCTGTTAAGAGAATTCCTGTTGGTGAGGTTCATCTCATTAAAAGAGTCATAGGTGGTAAGCCCCACTTCATTAACAGGACTGTCAGTAGTAATAGTTAAGCTTTCAACTGAATCTCAGAGGTTTGCTTATAATCTTGAGTTCCCTTTTCGTGACTTCAAACACCCCAGCCATTGAGTTGCATGCTGTGGACTCCATTCAAAGTATGCGTTATCTTTATCTGTGAGTTGTGTTGGAGCCATTTAGGAATGAGATCAAGTTAGGTGGAATCACATCTGATTACTATATCGATTCATTAAATAACAAATGCTGTTATGCAATGACTTCTGCATTTTAATGGTTTTATATAAAATTTCCCCAGACATTATTTCAATTATTCCACTTAGTTTAAATAGTTAACCTCAGCCTTACCTTCATAAAGAAAACAAATCAGAGGCATTTCTTTAGGATCTCCAGACGTTTTTATATTGTAATTACAGAATAGGATGATTTTTGCTTCACAAATCTATTACCTTTGAAGGAATGGGGTTCTAGTATGTTTGACGTGGGCTGTTCAGCTTTGATAAATGAGTTCAAGTGCATTGTGGACTAATAGGATGAAAGCGTTCTTTACTGGCTGTGTCCAGTGAAACTGCACTTTAGCAGTACTTCATTGGTTGTAAAGTGCTTTGGGATTTCTTGAAGTTGTGAAAGGTATGAACAAATGCAGAGATAGTGAGAACTGCCGATGTTGGAGAATCTGAGATAACAAGGTGTAGAGCTGGATGAACATAGCAGGCCAAGCAGCATCAGAGGAGCTGAAACATCAGCTTTACTGCTCCTCTGATGCTGCTTGGCCTGCTGTGTTCATCCAGTTCTACACCTTGTTATCTATGAACAAATGCATTTCTTTCTTCCTCTCCTTCCCTGTTTCTTTGTTTTGTTTGTTCTCAAACTGCTCAGAATGGCACAGGAGCAATTTTATTACATATCCTCTTCTCTCTTGTTATCCTTCCTTTGTGATGGTATCAACCCTATGCTTGGCTTGTCTTCCCCAAGCTAACATTGGGGCTTCACTTTGTGTTGATTAATTATCAAAACTGTACATCCTACCTACTGAGCAGTAACACATAGGCATTTCATCATCTGATTCCCAAAGCACCACTTGGCAGAAATAGTGCGAAGGCACACTACACCAAATTTTGAAATATACCATTCCATGTCCAATTGCCTTCTGTCCTCCACCTAAGATACTACTGTCCCAGCTAATATCATTCCTTAACTGATGCTATTGCCTTGTTATCCATGAGGCCTTGCTGTGGCAAATTGACTGTCATATTTCCTGCATTACAACAGGGACTACACTTGAAAAACTACTTCCTTGGCTGTAGAGCAGTTTGGAAAGCCCAGTTATTGTGAACAATCCTATATAAATGCATGTTTTGCATATATAGTGGGGCATGGTTCCCTGTGTTCAAGCCCGGCCCCGCACATTGGCAACCATTGGCTCTTCTGCAACCATGGGCCTCCTTCACAGGTACCATTGGCCAGCCACAGTAAGGATCAAAGTATAGTTCAGTCTCACCTTAACTTGATGGCCCTGTCCATTGAGCAATGGTCATAGACTGGGAATGTTGACTACTTTTCCTCCTTGGCCCAGGGTCACTTTATAATAGACCATTCAGTCCTCTGAGGCTGTTCCACCAATCATCAGATCACGGGTGATGGGTACCTGAACTGCACTTACCACTTTGGCTCCATAATTCTTAATAGCATTGTATGACTAGGATCCCTGCACCCAGTTAGCATTAGCTACTCAGCACATCTCAGATACTCATCCAGTGGACAGTCACACTTGGTTCTGTAATGCAGATATGCATTGCCTGATCTCTATTTATTCACATTTTTCCATCTAACACAGATAATGCTGCCAATCATCCCCAGCAGTCTGCTCTAGTATTATGTCAGTGTACTGCAGTACATGACTGAATTTAGAAAGCTGTAGTATACAAAGATAAGGAAGGAAAGAAAGAAATAGGGAAAACCAAAAGAGTCATGCATGCACTACTTTCCCTTTACTTTCTCAACCTCAGGCCTTCTCAAAGCACTGTACAGCAAATGAAGTATTTATGAAATGTACTCTCTGCTGTAACATAGAAAACACAAGTCAAATTGAATGCAGCAAACACCCACAAAATTAGATAACTAACCAGATAATCTGTTCTAATCGTTAGTCGAGGAAGGAGGGTTGTTTAGGACAGTAGGCAAAGCCCCCTGCTCTTTTTCCAGGTAATGTCATAGGGTCTTTGCCATCCATCAAATATTGAGACAGCACACAGTTTAACCCACAATGAAAAATACTGCACCTCTAAAATTGTAGATGTCCCTCAGTATTCCGCTGGAGTGTCAGCCTGGGTTATGTACTCATATTATTGTACAGTTCACAGAATTCCTGTGTACCCACAGTAATGTTCGTTATCAAGTTTGCTTCATGTATGTTGATGCTCAGGTTCATGAAGAGAAGGTTCAATGGACCAAACAGCCTACTCCTGCTCCTGTTTCTTGTGTCACTTTTTCTCCGGAGAATCAAGCCAATTTGACAGCGTAACCTAAGATAAATATTTATCCTCTGAACTGTTGCATAAAAATGTGTCAGCTTGAAAAAAAACAAGAGAAACTTTGGATTGTTACAAAAACCCAACTGGTTTTCCAGGAAATGAACTTCCCTGCCCTGACTGCCTCAAACACAGCAATGTGATTCTCCATGCTCTCTGGATAACTAATGGTTGGCAATAAATGTTACCTAGCCAACACCACCCACATCCCGAAGCGCGGAGGGGAGGCAATGGCATGTCATTAACATCACTAGTCATCCAAAAGCCCCAGCCTAATTTTCTGAGGACACGAACTGATATCACATCATGGCAGATGGTGAAATTTGAATTCAATAGAAGTCTGGCATGAAAGGTAATCAAATGGCAACCATGTATTAAAACAAAGAACTGTAGATGCTGCAAATCAGAAACAGAAATTGCTGGAAAAACTCAGCATCTGTGGAGCGAAAGCAGACGTTAATATTTTGGGCTCAGTGACCCTTCTTCAGAACTTCAGACCTGCTGAGTCTTTCCAGCAATTTCTGTTTTGTACCCACTGTCAATTGTTTCAAAAAAAAACTAGTTCAATCCTTTAGAAAAGGAAATCAACCATCTTTAACTGGTCTAGCCTACATGTGACTCCAGGCCCACCATAATTTAGTTCACTCTTAATTGCTCTTTGGACAATCAGGGATGGACAATACATGCCAGCAACACCCAGATCCCACAACGAAGTGGAAGATATATATGTATATATGAACGATTACATTTATGACTGAAAGGGAACATTGGCTGTTAGATAATAAGATACAGGAGTTGAAGACACGGGAATGTCCTGATGCCAGAACAGACTCATGTTATGAGAAGACAGTAAATGAGCGAGCTGCCAAAAGATAGAAGAGCAATGGATAATGACCCCCGGGACACAATCGTTTCGATAGAGGAGAGATGTCCTGGGATTATATGAGAGAGTAAGTCTGAGACAGTGATGCCAGAGGTGTGGGAATGTCCTGTGACAGCTCAGGACAGAGACTGACTCTCATGCCTCGAAAATGAGCTCCATTACCTGCTGAGTGTCTGAATCTGGCTTTGTTAGCTCGGTGTCACACTGTATTATTAATACAATGGAGAGAGTTACTTCAGGCAACGTTACCCACTGCCGAGTTCTGGCATTCCCTGACAAATCGTAGCAACAGCCAACTATTCTTAATTCTAGTGTGTCCCCAATCGGGTGGGATAGACTAGGAAATCCCTATTGAAACACTTTCATCAAA